GAGAGAGAGAGAGAGAGAGAGAGAGAGAGAGAGAGAGAGAGAGAGAGAGAGAGAGAGAGAGAGAGAGAGAGATGGAGAGTGTTGTACATAGTGGATTGTTGTTATTGGTTTGGTGTAAGTTTTTGCTTTGGTTTAGGAAATCCGCCACGAACCGCGGGGATTCCATCATGGTGGGCGGCAGGGTCTCTTTGGGAGTTGACACAGATGGGTGTAGTTTAATACCCTGAATAGCGAGGAGGAGGGTGGGTTTGCAGGGTCTTCGACCCTTGCCGCGAGGGTGGTGGGGTATCACAGCTGGTTTATGAAGATATTGGGTTTGGTTACATATTCGGGTCAAGAAATTGTGGCTTTGGTTTCCATCTTTTTGTGACAGGATTTGGTTTCTGTAGTTATCTGAGTTCTTTTTCGCCGTTTGGGTTACAGTTGTCGTAATTAGTTGCGATGCTTGTGTAGCGTTTTGCATGCGATGGAATGAAAGAGAGAGTGCCGCTCTGTAGAAACGCCATTATGGTGGGCAGTGGGGTTTCCTCGTGAGAAAGTGCAGATTAGTGGAAGTGGTTTCCCCTAAATCGCGAGGAGGCGGGTGGCCTGCCGCACGGGAGGTAGGGTATTACGGCTGAGACGTTGAATTTGGGTCAGATATTCATTTCATCTTAATAGGCTGCTGTTTGCTGTCATCTGAATTCTTAAGAGAAGTGGTGAGCATTGCTCCACAGACTGAGGGGCTTCGTCATGGAGGGAGGCGAAGCATCCGTAGGGGGTGTATGTAGATCGAGGGAGAGGCTTACCCTAAATCGCGAGGAGGTGGGTGGGTTTTGCGGGGCTTTTTAGCCCTGCCGCGCGGGAGGTAGGGTAATCCCCTGGTTAGTGAAAACAGCATCGTGGTGGGAGTTGGTGTTTTTGTAAAGAGGAGTGTGGGGAGGTGCTATCCGCTTCAAATCGTGAGGAAGTGGGTGGGTTTGCGGGGTCTCTGTCAGCAGTTTGGGGCCTGTGGGCACAGACCCCTGCCGCGCGGGTGGTAGGGCGGATTGGCAGGGGTTGATAATAACTCCGGATGAATGGTAGACATGATCACGCGGCGGTGACCGCTCGTTTCTTTTTTGTGGTTTTGATTCGTTTTTCTTCGGTAGTTCCTTTTGCACATGATTTCTTAATGGTCGCTGGAATTTAGGTCACTTAATTAGGGCTCACATGACTATTGTGATTATATTTTTTAGTGATGAACTTTAGACTTTGATGATAAATTTCGTTGATTTTTCAGTGGTGGGGGCTGTGGATTTGGCTGTGGAGTTGGCTGCAGGGTGAAATCTAGTGGTACCCTAGATGTGCTTGGCCGGTGATGCTTTGCCAGCCGAGGGCCCCACCTAATTTTGTGAGGGCCGGTTCCCAGCTTTTCTATTAAAATATATATATATATTTACCAAAAAAAATAAAAATTATCTGTATCGTTCCAATTTTAATGGACAAAAAAAAAAAAAAAAAAACTGGCTCAGCTCAGTTGGTACATCCTTGAACTGTTCAAATAGGGACCTGTGTTCAAACTCGGCGCAGTTTTTCTTTGCAGAGGCGTGTTTTTTTTTCCCCGTTAGATACTCCAAGGTAACATCATGATGAACGTACTGACCTCAAAAAAAAAAAACAGAACTAACGGTTCCAGGCTCCGTCCAGCTGAAAAAAAAGAAAACCTGGCTCAGCTCACTCGGTACATCCCTGAACTCTTGAAATAGGGAACTGAGTTCAAACTCCACTCGAAGCAGAGATGAACAAAATACTGCGCCATTCGGAATCGCCTGGGGCCGGTGAGTTGGATGATGAAATGTCAAGGCCGTCACCCTTAAAAAAAAAAAAAAAAAAAAAAAAAAGAGATCAATCGCAATTTTCTGCACCCCTCCAGAAACACCTGCATACTCAGGGCATACTTTCTTACTAGGACTTTCTTACTTGTTTCTGGACGCAGTTGCAGTCACATTCATACAGGTCTGCCCATAATTCCAGTGAGAATCTGTGAGATACATTTAGGGGCAAGTGTGGTTACTATGGGTCTCGTTCGACACCACTTGGAAATTGCTATTTTTCAAGGAAGCATCTTTGGACCCCGCCCTAATCATGCACCCTTGAAGTCGCTAATTGTTTCCACATCCCCGCGGCCAAGTGTCCGCCCTTGAAACGAAAGTGCGGCCCAGGCAAATCCACAGAAATCGAAAGGGAGCCTCGGGAGGTCACTTGGGGCGCAAGGGTTTCGCCCTTCGGGACGCGTGAATGGCGGTTTTCAGGTGCTTTCGTCCTTCTCTCGGTGGAGGCAGAACTGTTCCTGGTACAAACCAGCTTTTCTTCGACGTTCGCAGCGGGACTGTGGAACCGGGGGCTGTACCAACGGCACCCGAGGTGCCAGTTTCGGCAGCGAAGGGTCATCGGGCCGACCTTTACAGGGCGGAGGCTGTGTTGCGGGGAACGGTAGTGTGCTTTTTCAGATTCGAACCACCGGACCCCGGGCGCGATGCAGCAGTGCTGCGTTTCCTTGCATGACTGTTGGTGTGCAGAGGAGCAAACAGGCAGGTTACAGCATCCCGATGCGGTTGTCCAACAGCGCCTGCCCGATGGCCGCCTCCCTACTTGCCTTCTGTCTGGCAAAACCCTGCTG